GGGGAGAGGACCAGAGAATCAGAATGGTTAAAAACATAATCTCACGGTTCCATCAACGTGAGAGGTTATCTGATGCAGTTAAAACTGCTATTTACCATTAACTGACCAATCATAGAATTATATCATTATTAAATTATAAATAAATATTTATGAGCCACACAATATAATAATGAGCAATGGAATAATAATAATAATAATAATAATAATAATAAAAAAAAATAATTATTCCAACACCTATGCCAAGTCATACACACAGAAGACAGAAGATTTTGAAGATGTTCTTTGGCTATTAGCCTCCCACATTTCATCAATCTGATACCATAGGTAATTTCTACCCATTTTGTCAAAACATGCCATGATTTAGGCACATATTGGCAATGTTTTGTACCATAGTTAGTTTATCAGTCAATTTTAACTTATTTGATTATTAGTAGCTGTTTGACTTGATTAAACATTCAATATAAGTGTTTAATTAATTAACTTTTTGTAACAACTTATTGTTCTAAAATGCTAAAATTCAAAAAGCTCCTTAAAGTAGTTTTTTCAATAAACTTTTTGAGAAAGTCAATTTGTATATAATCAGCTAACAGCTAATTTATCAATCATTTTTCTACAATCAACTAATACTATTATATCAATTAATCAAACCCACTAATCCAATTAACTAATAACTAACCATTAACATCTAACAACTATTTACCACACCCGACTACTTTTCAAATAGTTCGTATGCTCAATTAGTAAACTGATTTAAAGTATGACTCCGTTGATAGTTGGCAAGGGTGAGATTTTGAATCACTTTTTAAGTATAAGGAGAACTATTACCTCATTTATAAAGCTTAATTATTGCTACTCGCCAGTGGTGGGCTTAATGTTGCTAATATCCAATGATAGAAAGAGTTATCATTGAACTCCAAGGAGAATATTTCTCTATGTTTTTTCATTGATATGTGATCAAACCAAAGACCTTTAAATAATTGTTTAGTTGTGCCCATGATAAGGAGTTAAGTATAGTGCTTAATGGTGAACAAGCAATTTATATATTGTGCACCAGGGCGCACACTGCATTCTGCGCCTTAAAAGTCTCCTGTTTCGTATGTATAATTGTATAATAGAGTACACAAAAACTCTTAACATAATAAACATAATCTTAACATAATACATAATACACATAAATTCTTAACATAATATACATAAACTCTTAGGGTACACAATGCATTATGCACCCTGGTGCACGATATAATTTGCCGTGAACAAGTTGTACTTATTCAAAGTGGTATAAATGATGTAGATCAGTCCATACATGATCTATTAAGAGATTTTATTGGACTCATCACAAGGTCCAAAACTAAACTCTAAAGGTAACTATATATTGAGTTTGTACAACACTCCTGGAGGCAAATTATGTTGTGGACTCTTAACATAATACATAATACACATAAATCCTTAACATAATATACATAAACTCTTAACATAATATACATAATTACTAATTTAATCCAAAGCAATGCCAACTTCAGATTTGCAGAAAAAAATAAAAATAAAAATAAAAAAGCCCAAAAACTTCCGCACCGACACCGCCATGACGAAGTCAAGATTGCTTCTGCAGTATTGATTTCGCCGGAAATGCCAAAACTTTGCTCCGCCTATTGGCTCGCCTCCTCCGCGTACGCTTTCTCTGTCATGGCCAACTGCAACTGCTCCCTTACATCGTCCGTGATTTTGGCGACCGCAACACATCCATTCACGAATCTAAGCCCTCTGAATAAATAGATTGATTTCTAACCATAATAATATTATGCTATTATGATCGTGAGGGAGAATAATAATCTAATCATAATTAAATATTCTTTTATATTTTCTTACATTTAAAAAGGAATGTTAGAGGGCAATTGCAGGCAATTTATATCCTACACCACGGCGCGCGTTGCACTGTGTGCCCAGATGCAAAACGACGTCGTTTTAATTTTTTTTTTTTTTTTTTTAATTTCATGCCCCAGTGTATGACAGTTAATTTTTCTTTAAAAAAAACCCATGTTCAAAAATGTACATAATGTTATACTAGAATACACATAATTGTATACATGAATGTACATAATTATATAACAAAATATGCATACTCTTTTTAAAAGATAATACACATAATCTAACATAATACATAATAAACATAAACTTTTAACATAAATCAACTCTTAACATAATACACACAAATTTTCTGATTCGGATGTACATAATTGTATAAAAAGAATGTACATAATTGTATAAAAAATGTACATAACTGTATGAACAAATATACATAATTGTGTGAACAAATATACATAATCACAGCAACTTTCTATCGCGCCTCCCAAAACGACCCCAAAACGACATCGTTTTGGGAGGCGCGCGGCGCACAGTGCTACGCGCGCCGTGGTATAGGGTATAACGATTGGCAATTGCATGGAACATTTAAAAGAAGGATTTTACTTTTCTATAATAATAATATATTCTTCTAGCATATTCTATAATAATATATTTATCAAAATAAATATTCTTTATATATATATATATATATATATATATATATATATATATATATATATATATATATATATATATATATATAGATTTAGGTTCTCGTGCGGGTGAGGGCTTCAGGTGCGGTTGTGCGGTTTAATCTGAGTCATTCATCTCGCTTTAATCAACGTCCAGGATTATCAAAGTTTAAAAAAAACGCGGTGGCAATTTTGTAATTTTTGCATCTAGGTCAAAATTAAGGTGAGCGGATCTGTGATTAATGTGTGTGAGTTTTGTGCTTAATGTGTGTGTGTTTTGTGCTTAATGTGCGTGAGGTTTGTGCTTAATGTGCGTGGGGATGTGCTTAACGTGAATAGTTGTTAAAACTTAAAGTCTGTGAGTGAATACTTAAAGTGCGTGAGTTTTGTGCTTAATGTGCGTGATGTTTGTGCTTAATGTGCGTGGGTTTTGTATTTAATGTGCGTGAGTTTTGTACTTAATGTCAGTAGTTGTTGACACTTAAAGCCTGTGAGTTAATATTTAAAGTGTGTGGGTTTTATGCTTAATGTGCGTGAGGTTGTGCTTAATGTGTGTGGGTTTTGTACTTAAAGTGCGTGAGTTTGTGATTAAGATCTAACACTTAAGGTGCACCTTAGCTTATACTTCTTTGTTCCAGGTACGCGTTTTTTTTTTATTTTTTTTTATTTTTAATTTTCATTGATTTGAGCCGTTGATCTAAATTTGATCAATTGCTCAGATTTAACCGCACAACCGCACGGGAAGCTATACCCGCACCTGAACCCTTCCCTATATATATATATATATATATATATATATATATATATATATATATTGATATAGATATAGATTATCAAAATAAAAGACGCAACTTTTCATTGAATGAACTATTGTTACTAGTAATTTCTAGTAAAAATATGTTAAATACATTTTTTTTTGGTTATGAATTTGATGATTTACTTGAAAATTTTTTAAGCTCAAGGGTGTAATTAAAATATTTTGAATATAGAGTTTGAGAGTTTATTTGGTTATTTTCCGAGTTATGTTATAAATCACATAAGAGATTAAAATGATGGAAAAAAAGTATTCCTTATCTTAAACTTTTATTCGTTTAAATAGTTTATACTTATTTAAAAAGTGCTGGTATAACAAATTAAGAACCTGTTTGTTTAAATTATTTAGATTTTTTTCTCAAATACAGAGAACCATTTAGCTAAGTCAAATTATCTAAATTTCTAACACCTGGATTGGTTAGTCTAAATGGTGGACTTTATTTTGCCAAAAGTCTTGTGGTTGAACGGCATAGCTGTGGCCCTTCAAATGAGAGGTCTTTCAGAAAAAAAAACAGCATCAAAGACGATATATTAAATCAACTCAGAAATAAAATAAGGGGGAACATCCTCCCAACTCATAGGACCAGGCTGAGAGCCAACCGCCTTTGCTAAAGCATGTGTGTCTTGGTTCGCTGATCTAGGAATGTAATGAAAAATGCAACGCCGTAAATCTTTAACAATCTGTTTACACTCATGAATAATGGAACCTAGATAGGTTCGATCCTCCTTATCGTTACGCAAAACTTGTACTATATTAAGGCAATCTATCTGAACCTGTACCTCCATCACACCTCTTGTTCGAATCCAGATTAGAGCTTGTTTGCATGCCTCCACTTCAACCATTATTGGATCCAAGACACAATGCATGCCCCATTCAGTGAGAAGCAGTATCAATTCCTCCATCCACCTTGCATGTGAACATGCTTGCCGCAACAACATCCCATACGGAACCATATATGCATAACACTCCTATTACGCACCTGCCATATGGAATATATATGCAGTTTTTGCTTGTCACAAGAATTGAAAATCTGCTGAAACCAAACATCTATTGGTTCATCAGTATTGGCATTTGGCCTCACAAAAAAAAAAAAACAGTATTGGCATTTGGCAGTCTCCAACACTAAAGGACATAAATAAAAAATATGAATGAGAGTTTCATCCTGCAAGTCACATATGGAACCATCTTGGTGGGCAATACCCCTTATAACCCTCCACAACATAGTCCTCCATTTTGGCGGACACTCAGATGCCATAAGGAATTCCACTTAGAAAAAGGAGGATGAAAATGGGAGAGCTTCACAATCCTCCCTAAGAATTTATACCCAAGGACTTTTTATTAGGATATAAGCTACTTCTTAAAATTTCTCCGCTTTTTAAGGTTTAATTTATGAAAGCTCATAGACCACGTTTGACCACAACAATAGCAACAATGTAACGGTTGCCCACTCTTTCCTCTGCAACGACCATAAAGCCTCACCAAAAACATTTTTCCTAAAAACCATTACAATTGAATGAAGGGAAAAAGATGTAGAACATTAAAAATCTCTGGTGCATATATATTACTATGGAGAAACATGAAGGAAGGGAAAAGCTAAGCAATTGAAGAATATACATACAATTTGATTAAGAAAAAGACAAAAGGGGAAGAAAATGGAGGGTAATAAGCAAAAACATCAAATGATGTTCTTGTTAGTGGTCGCTATTACTGCTCTCACGACTCAAGCTAACATTGGGCATTTCGATGAGGTGTGGCAGGAGCGAGCCGCCGCGGCGCAGAAGGCCGCTCGCAACGCCTATAACCCTAATCCCCACAACGTCACAAATCATTTAAACGAGAATGTACACATGTAAGCCAGCTCAATTATGTTTAGTTTTCAAACAGATACTATACGTCAATATATAAATGGTGTGTATTTTGTTTTTAGGAAAAATGACACATTTTCTCCTTGAATTATATGTTTATAATACTTTTTACCCTTCAATTATTCATGTGCCTTGTGCCTATATGAGCGCTATTTTTCCTCATTTTTAACATAAAAGGAGAAAAACAATTACTTTTAGGGTCTGTTTGGAAACCTGAATAAATGACTTCCAAAAGTCATTTTCTGATTTTTCAGTAGTTTGGGCATTCTAGGAAATTAAAGTCAAAAGAAAATATTTATTTAGGTAAACAAAAAAAAGGCTCAATTTGGCGAAAAATGTCTTCATAGATTTTTAGTTTAAAATTATTTTCTGAATTCTTTTTTTTTTTTTTTTTTTTTTTTTTTTTTTAATCTTCCCTAATATCTTTTCAAGATAGTTTTGAGATTATTATTACCACCAAACCACCACAATCACAACTACTACCATCACCACCACTACTACTACTGCCACCACCACACATTCACAACCACCACCACCACACCACTTGTTGTTGTTGTTACCACCACCACTTCCACTTATTATTATTACTAGTTTTTCAGGATAATGCCCAATGATTATTTTGAAATAAGTACTTCAACTATATCAATGCAATATTATATAAGAGATGTTCATTCATAGGTAATTGAATTTTAATTTGTGTATTTAAATCAATAATTTGAAGTATATGAATGCAAGATAATATATGAGAGATTGATTATAACTGACACAAAAATAAATATTTACAACTTTGTAATAATGCTAGTCTAAATACTTTGTTTAAAAACGATAGTCTAAATAAATACTACTTTTGGTTTGAATTTCTCTAAGTCCTCTTAATTTTATTTTCGGTAGCATTGTCATTGTCTTTTATCTTCCGTACTTGTCCTTTTTTATTTATTTATTTTATTTTATTTTATTGGTAGCTTGTGTATCATGTGCAATTAGGTTACTGGTAGTAGCATAGAGGGCAACGTCATGCAATGGGATTATGGTGTAGGAAGTTGTAGATTTGTCTTGTTATATATATGACTAGGATCTTAGTTGTACCATGAACTCTTTATCTTGCAAGTTTGTTGATATTTGGCAACTGTAGTTCCCCCTACATATTTCATGTGCTGTGAGATGTGTGCATGTTGTAGATTCACATGTGAAAGTATTGAACAAAATATTAATATTTATTATATTTGTAGAAGGTTCATGAGTAGTATATCTTGTTTTAGTTCCCTAACTTGTTTACTTGATAGTAACAACAATGACTACGAAGGTAGTCCGAATACTAAGTGTTTTTGTTGTCAAGGTTGATGCCAATTTTGTCTTTAATCCAAATATGTTGAGTCTAGAAAATGAAATGAGTTGTATATTTAGATTAGTTTTAATATATTTAAAGGATGCATAATAAATATTTTACATACAAGATCAATGAATGCTGCAACAATGGTTATTTTGAAATTTCTTCATTTTCTGGATTTGCAAGATTGATTGCAACATTGCTGTAGTCTCGACATCTTTTCGATGCGTTAAGTGTGTCACGATGTTCTATTGCCCTACATTGACATTTTTTAATAATGAGTTTTTAATGTAGCTACGTAAGACAATGATCTAATTACCATTTACATATTATTATCAACATAAAAACATACAAGTCCTTTAGGTGTGCTCGAGGTACTTTTGGTTTAACTATTATTGTTGAATGAGTTCTTGTGGATAGAGAAATTCCTAGTTCATTTAAGGAATAAAATTAGATAAGTTAGTAAAAATTAATACATTTTAAATCATCTTAATAAAGAAATATGATTTACCTTTAAAGTGAACATCTGTCATGTAATCCAGAGACATTACGGGTACCTACTGAAACACAAAGAGCTAATAACGCCTCCACTGAGGCTTGAACTCACAACCTTCCTAATGGAAGTCCAACCCGAGTACCATTGGACCACATAGTCCTGGTCCCTAACTAGTTAATATGATTGTCTTCAAACTGTTTTTTTTTTCTATGACATTAATAAAATACTTGGTAAATAAATATATAACATATTTTTGTATTATAACTTTGATATTTAATTACAAGATAGATAGTGTAAAAAGAAGATAATTGACAATATAGTAAATATAATTAATTAATGAATTTGAAGGTTAAGAATCTTTGCATGCTAGAAAATAAAGATAATATAACTAAGAAATTATATATATATATATTTTAAATTTTTTGATAATGAATAAATGTTTTTTTTAATAAATGCATTATAGACATCTAAATCTAAATTAAAGAAATGCATATGTATTTTTTTTTTTTTGTTGTAACTATTAATTTATACCAACTCTAATTGGGATGTGGATCGAACCTAAGACTTTTATTTTTTAATGCAAAGCAATGAGTAAGTTAAGAATAATAAATAGTTAATAGAATATTTCGTTACTAAAGTTTATACTAATGGAATGCTGGGTTATTTAAGGAAAGAAAATAATATAATAGGGAGTAAAAAAGAAAAATCATAAAAAACACTAAAATTAAAATAATCTAAACCATTCATTTTATCAAATAATTGGGCAGACATTTTTTAATTTGTTTCCGTTATAGGCTTAACTTTATTCACACACACACACACACACACACACATATATATATATATATATATATATATATATATATATATATATTACTATTATTATTATTATTATAATTATAATTATATAACAAATAATATGATTATTTTTAACAATTTTTGCATGCATGCGTCGATGCAGGGTGGTGAATAGCACGAGGAGGGGCTTAAATCACAAACCCAAGTACAAAGGTCCATGCATGGCCACAAACCCCATTGATAAATGCTGGAGATGCAACAAAAACTGGGCCAAGAACCGGATGAAGTTGGCGGACTGCTCTCTGGGCTTCGGCCGCAACGCCCAAGGAGGTAAAGGAGGCAAGATTTACGTCGTCACCGATCCTTCTGACAGAGATCTCCTCAAACCTAAGCCCGGAACCCTCCGCCACGCCGTCATCCAGCCCGGCCCCCTCTGGATCATCTTCGGCCACTCCATGGTGATTAGGTTGTCGCAGGAACTGATCTTGACCAGTAGAAAGACCATCGACGGCCGCGGCCAGGAAGTCCACATCACCAACGGCGCCGGCCTCACTCTCCAGTTCATCAACCACGTCATCATCCATAGCCTTCACATTCGCGACATTAAGCCCGGTAAGGGCGGCATGATCAGAGACTCTGTCAAGCACTACGGGCTCCGAACTAAGAGCGACGGCGATGGGATTTCCATCTTCGGGGCTACCAACATTTGGATCGATCATGTTTCCATGTCTAATTGTGTGGATGGGATTATCGATGCCGTTATGGCTTCTACGGCTATCACCATATCCAATTGCCATTTCACTAGGCATAATGAGGTTTTGTTGTTTGGGGCAAGTGGGATCAATAAACAGGACAAAGTGATGCAGATTACGCTTGCGTTTAATCACTTTGGGCATGGATTGGTGCAGAGAATGCCGAGAGTGAGATATGGCTTCGTCCACGCCGTCAACAATGATTATACACACTGGCTTATGTATGCCATTGGTGGCAGCCACAAACCAACTATCCTCAGCCAAGGCAACCGCTTCATTGCTCCTCCCAACGGTTACGCCAAAGAGGTATATGTATATATGTTAACATTATGTTAATATCAAGCGCCTAAAGCTATCACTATGCCAAATGTTATAGCTCATAGTGAATAGGTAGCATCATTTTTTTTTTTTATATATATCCTCACATTTTCGAGAAACAAGATGCTGGACTTGCCTCTTCACCAGTCTCCACCCAAGGGTCAAAGACTGAAATGGGAAAGAAATATAATTTATTGACAAAAATGGAAAGCTTTTGAAAAATAGACTAGAATAGGAAAAGATTGTTTGGGACATGCGCTTCTTGTCAGAAGCTCATGTGAGACATGCGTTTGATGTTTATTTTTTTTCTCCAAAATTAATCGCACACTCAAGTGGTACTTTTGTCTCTGGTATTATACCAGAGACGCAAGTGGAACTTGCGTCTCTGACCGTATGTATACTTTTCCACAGACACAAGTAGAAAATACATTTCTCGTAGAATACTCCATGAAAGCCAAGGCCACCAAACCCAACATAGCAAATATGACATTCCAGATTTCAGCGTCGATGGTCATCAAACCTTTCAAATCGACTCCGCCGTCACGCTTTGGAACAACAGAATCACTGACGCTAATATTAGCAGCGCGGTCGTGCCTAGGAATCAAGTATGGCACTATTTGAAATATGAGCAAAGAGATCGCTGCCGTTGGCCAGCTCCATTCACATCACTGCCGCGAACCCAATCATGGCTAGCCGACTGTTGATTCTCTCCAGTCCCAGAGCACTGAAAGAGAAGACGTCATAGATATTGGTGCTAGATTTCACTGCGACTTTTGGTGCAGGAGAAGGAGGAGGAGTTGGTTTAGGCACTATATTAGATGACTCTGCCACTGGCGTGGTTGGTTGCTCTTTCCCAGCATCATCCTACAACAATATGTTTTCCAGCCGCCGGTGGTGAGAGACGCAAGTGGGAAATGCGATTCTCGTATATTCTACGAGAAACGCATTTTCCACTTGCGTCTGTGCGAAAGTATACATACAGTCGAATTTGCGTCTCTGGTATAATACCACAGATGCAAGTACCACTTGTTTCCGTGATTAATTTCGGAGAAAAAAAATAAACATCAAACGCTCTTTTCCTAATCTTGTCGAACTTTCAAAAGGTTCCCATTTTTGTCAAAAAATTTGATTTCTTTCCCATTTCAGTCTTTGACCCCTCCACCCAACAATCCCATAGTCACCAATTGCTGGACTTAGCTCTAATTTACTGGTCTCCGCCCAACAATCCTCTAATCACCAATTGATGGATTTGACCCTTTATCGGCCTCTGGCACCCTTTATCGGCCTCTGGCATATATATATATATATATATATATATATATATATATATATATACACATATGTGTGTGTGTTAGGTTATGTTAACATCAAGCAGTTACCAATACGCCTAAAGGTATAGCTCACAGCGAATAAAACACAAATTTATTTTCTTATATACTCTACATTTTCGAAAGGCAATGTGTTGAATTTGCCCCTTCACGGCCTCCAACCGACATTCCCCTAGTCACCAATTGTTGGACTTGAATCTTTATTGCCCCAACATATTAGATTAAAGCTAAGATTAATCTCAAATTGGAGTTGTATGTGTAATAAATTATATTAATGTTGAGTGTTTGTTGTTGTTGTGCGTGCAGGTGACAAAAAGGGAGTATGCACAAGAGAGTGAGTGGAAAAACTGGGCGTGGAAATCAGACCATGACCTGATGATGAATGGTGCATTTTTCCGTCAATCTGGAAATCCCAAGCATGTATTTCCCCACGATAATTCCATCAAGCCTATGCCGGGAACATTTGTGGGCAAGATGACACGATTTGCTGGCCATTTACATTGCATCGTGGGGAAACCTTGTTGAACAATGCCCATCCAGACATATATAGGTGTGTAGGTTTTGCTCCATCGCAATAAGAATAGAAGAGGAAACTAGTATTAGAAGTCTACTATTCTTTGTATTGTGTTTATTGTAGGACATAGTCTTGTATATTCTGTATAGGACTTTAGTCTTGTATATATGTTTTGTCTATTCCTTTTTCAATAATATTCAGAAACTTGTTCTCATTTGGTATTAGTAGCTAGGTTTTCCCTATGGTCGGTGACAATGACAGTTCTGCCGGAGTTTCTTCAGAGCCGTCTATTTATGATGTCATTGTTCCGGTGCATGTGATTTCTAATAACTCTTTATCCAGTTCACACCATTTTATTTCTATCAAATTAACAGCCCTTAACTCTTTGTTCTAGAGAACCTAATTGGCCCGTTTCTTGAGAGGCCAAAATTTAATAGGCTTTGTTGATGGAACTTTCCCATGCCCGTCTGCTGCTGTTACTGCCTCTTTATTGGCGTCGACTGCTGCACCATCTTCTCCGGCGATGGCGTCCTCTACAACCCTCCCCGCGGCTACTTGGATTCAACAAGACCAAGCTATATTATCTATGTTAATCTCCTCTCTTTCCGACGAAGTGATGCACCTCGCCGTTGGGGAGTCTACCTCTCTTCAAGTGTGGTTGTCCATTGAACAGGCCCTTGGTTGGTCAGTTGTCTTCTGTATTTAAAGTCCGTGAAGTGTGTGCCCCTTTTTTTTTTTTTTTTTCTTCTTGGTATTGAAGCTGTCTCTATGCCTACTGGGCTTCTTCTTTCTCAATGTCGCTATATGAGTGACATATTAAAGCGGGCAGACATGGTTGATTGCAAAGCCTTAGCCACGTCGGTCTTTGTGGCACGGGCTGTTGATGAATTAGTTGAGCCTTATGCAGATCCCACGCACTACAGAAGCTTGGTTGGGGCTATGCAGTATCTCACGGTAACTCATCTTAATGTTTTTTATGCAGTTAACAAGCCATGTCAGCACATGCACTCACCCACTATGGCTCATTGGATGATGTTCAAACGAGTTCTTCGGTATATTAGAGGTACGTTACACTATGGGTTACTTTTACACAAGTCTTCCTCTGATGTGTTGCACGCCTTCACTGATTTTTATTGGGCTGGTTCTCATGAGAACCGAAAATCAACAAGTGGCTATGCTGTTTTTGGTGTCGAAAGCAAAAGACTGTTGCTATTTCTAGGTGTATGAAATTGCAGTGAGCTTTGTTAACCTTGAGAAGCAACGGACCAATTAGGTGGAAGCTTTAATGCATGAGCTTGGCTAACTTGTTATGGTCTCTCCTAAGCTGTGGTCTAACAACTTGGGTGCCACGTATCTTTGTGCTAATCATGTTTTTCATGCACGCACAAAACATGTTGAGATTGATTATTAGGGGCGAACCCTGTACGAAATTTGAAATGGATGAAGCTAAAAGACACAACTTGGCATGAGTTGAAACAACCTCATATCCTTTAAACTCCTTAGCACAAGTTGAACTAGCATCATATCCTCCAAAGCTCCTTAGCACAAGTCAAACAGCCTCATATCTTTGAAGATACTCATTGGCACGAGTTGAAACAACCTTATATATTTTTGTAGTGTTGAAAATTCCTTGCACTACATACTTTTGAGTGGTATATGCGTTTAAGTGGCGTACAAGTAAGTCTCGAATGAGCATTTGTTGACATTGAAAATTTGATAAAGATAAATATTTTTGAATATTATTATATTTAAATATATTTTTGGATAATATGGTTATTGTCTAATTTCTTTATTTAGATATTATCAAAAGAGTTTGAACATATCAAAACTCTTCATATCCCAACTATAAATAGGAGCTTTTATTTCAAAAGAAATCATCATGGAAAGAAGTGATAAAGTTTAAAGCTTAAATTTGAAAATAAAATTCTTCTAAAATTTCCTCCCTGAAGAGCATGCCAAGCATGTTAATCCAACCATCCATTGAAAATAAAGTCATTTGAGTCCAGATGTCCTTCAACGAAAAACAAGCAATATATACAAGTCCTTGAGGATCAAGCTACTTTTGTTTTGGAGGCCTTTCAGTGGAGTGTTGAAGACATCAATTCAAGAATCGTATGACCATTCAAAGATATTGTACCCACACTACATTATATTGACATTCGTTGTAACTAGAATATTAGATTTTAATACATATTAAATTTTTTGTGTTCACAAATTGGCACGATCAGTGGGGAATGCGATATGATGCCTCTCATTTCTTCTTAGACACCATACATTTCAACTGATGATGGGGGAAAACCCTTTATGAAATTTGAAATGGAGAAAGCTAAAAGGTACTCCTTGGCACAAGTAAAAAACGGTTTCATATCTTTTGATATTCCTTGACACGAATTGAAACATCCTCATATCCATCAACGTTTCTTTGCACGAGTTGAAACAGTCTCATATCATTTATATTCCTCGGCACGAGTTGAAATGGCCTTATATCTTTTTGTAGTATCGAGATGTGACAACACAAAAATAATTTTCCTAAACCCTATTTTATAAAATTTCTAAAATAACTATTTTCACTCTTCCAAAATTTTTCAAAAACAATGTATGAATTAAATATTTTAAATCGAGTTTTTAAATAAATTCAACACCCAGAAATATCCTATTTCAAAAATCCTAAGTTTCGGGTACATTTATGTACCAAGTTTTGACCCAAAAAGTCAATCTGAGTAAAACCTGGGAAACCTGAACCAAGTGTTTTAACTAGAAACTATTTTCAGAAAATCTATTTTTGACCCCAAGTTATCCAAAATCATTTTTGAGACCCTTGTCCATGATATAAGGTGAACCTTGATTTTATTCAAGCCAAAAGCATTTGTCTGAGATGTTGAACAACCAAAATTGCCCTTTCACCCCCAACCAATCATTTGAGTTCTACCTAGGGTTTTGAACCCTATAAAATCATCACTATTCCATTGAAGTTCTCTGATCCCTTTCATTTGCCTCTCCACTCCTTGAGCTCTGTTGACAGAAGAAGAGAATCACATCTAATAGGAGGTAGTAGTTGAGTAGAGAGGAAGGGGGGATCCACACAAGAAGAAGAAGAAGCTCAAGGTATAAATCATGGACTCCCAAACTAGATTTTTTGCTCTGTTAAATGCTAGAAGAGTGAAATAGATGTTTAGAAATGCTAGATAATGTTTGTTGTTGAGCTATTTGTGTGTTGTTGATGATCTATGATTGATTTATTGATGTTTGGAAGTGTTAGATTTCATCTGAGTTGTCTACATGTGAAGAAGAAGGGGTCTGGTGCACACAGATGGTGCACCAATAAACCCAACGGACTAGGCGTGGTCCGTTGGCTAGTTCCGTAGAGGAGCGGACCAAGGCAACGGATCCGTTGCTAGGCGGAGCCAAGCGGCGGGGCTTCACAAGCCCCGTCACCAAGATCCGCCAGGCCAAAAGATGGTTCTGGCCGGGCCCTCTGTGGCTCAGCTACGTGTCGTTCGGACTGGGACTCGTGGGCCCTTGAGGCTCGGACACTCGGCCTCGTTACAACGCACTAGTAGAAGTTAGTTTCATTTGATTTGGAGATTAAAACATGTTTAACAGATAGAATTTGAAAGAATGAATGCTTTGTTTGTTGTCTGTGAATTGAGTTCATGAAGGAGATTTATGGCTTTTGAGTATTGTTATTTGATTGAGAAGCATGTCTAAATACTTGATATTATTTATTGAGAAGTTTTGCTAAGTTGTTGAGATTTTGGCATGAAGCGGTGCATATTTCCATTTCACAGTAAAGAGCATGTTAGCAGACAAAGTGTGAATTTGGTCCTTGAATAATTGTTTAGCTTTTGAGTTCAAAGTTATGAAATATCTGATTGACATTTGCTTACAAGAATTATTTGAGTAAATGTGCTAATTGCATTAATTAGCTCATGAATAGTAGAATTGTTGAGATTATTGAGATTTCTTGTATAAGTCACTGTTTTACAAACTTGCATTCGAAAAAGGTCATTTTGCCACTTTTAAAGACTAAGTACAGTAAAGGCTCAAAGTTGAGCCTTAAGCTATTTTCAAAACTTATATCTATTTTGGAAAATCACTATCTATTTGCATTGAGAAGATTGCATGATATTTGATTTCCAAAATGTGAGAAAGAGAAGTTGTTGAGATTTATGTGCATCGCAAAGCTTGCATATGTTAGAGTCTATTGCACGAGAAAAAGAAGTTGCATGAGATATATATGTTATCAATCTATTGTGAGAAAAATAGTATTTTCGAGCACCATTAGGACTATGTCCTTTCGGAAGAAAAGAGAAAGAAAGAAGTTATGAGAAATGAAAGAAACGGTCACAGAGGACCGACAGATATTTAGAAGTAACGAGGTCGATATTCCCGAGTTACTAGGTTGGATACTACCCGCCGGGCTTGAAATCCTAGTTAGGGGTGCACACACTGAAAGTACGATACCTGAGTCCACAGAGTAATAAAGAAAGAAAGAAAGATTAAGAACCACGAGTAACGGTTCTGTGAGCGAGTTGAGTATTAAGCCGGCTAGATTGCGGAGCTCGGATAGGTCCATTCACGATTCGTAAAGTTCCTACCTCCCCCCCCCCCCCCACGAGTTTGAAGTTCCATTGATACGGATGTGGTGGCTGCAAGAGTTGCACCGTTCGCTAGGGCTTCGCTACAACGGAGTACCTGCCTTGCACAAAGAGAAAGATTGAGAAAGAAGAGAAAAGCGAGTCAAGTGACTCAACATAAAGAAAGCAAGAAAGTAAGAAAGAAGAGAAAAACGAGTCAAGTGACTCAATAGAAAGAAAGCAAGAAAGTAAGAAAGAAGAGAAAAGCGAGTCAAGTGATTCAACAGAAACCTCCACAGAAAATGATCTTTTTATATAAAGAGCGTGAGTATATATATATATATATATATATATATATATATATATATATATATATATATATATATATAAAGCATCGTGACAATTCTTTTTGCATGACTTGCATAATTTGCATTTAGAGTTTGATGAGAAGGTACAATAGTTTGTTTTTGCTTATGAGTTGGCATGATAGCATGAGCTTGCTTGTTGAGTTTTAAGTATCTCTTTATCTATCAGTTTGGGCATGAGTTTGCGCTTTGAGCTATGATTAGAAATATCTGTTTAAAGCATGAGAATTGTGTTAAGTTAAGTGCTTGAAAAAACCATGTTTATATGAAGTATAGATTGCAAGCATATAGAGTTGTTTATGAGCATGTTTTGAGATTGTTATTCAAGTGTTGTAAGTACTTGAGATTAAGTGTGATTGCAAAATGGTTTCCAAATCTATATCTATAGTACTTTACAGGGTTGAGTGGTTTTATACTTAGAATTAATTTGCTAACGGGTTTATTTTCTTACTTGTTTTTTTAACCCCTTTCAGGTGGGCCCAGTGTTTGAGAGCGCACGAGATAGATTAGTGCGTAGTTATGAGGTGGTAGATTCTAGATTAGATTCTACTTTGGATATTTGATGTTTAGATGTTGTTGACTGATCCTTTTTGTTGGTGCTTGGACACCGGGGTTTGTTCCCCAAGTTGTTAGTGTTGTTTTGATGAGCTAGACTCTTGTTAGTTATCTTTTTGTAGCTTGTGCAGCCACCGTGAGTGGTGGTTGTGGCGGTGACACCCGTTTGTTGGATTGGTTGGTTTAAGTTATCTAATCTTGCTTATTTATCTCGTTTAAAGTTAAAGTATTTGGGATTTAGATTTTAGAAAAGTGGGGTGTTACACGAGACTTGCTTGCACTACATACTTTCGAGTAGTATATGCTCTCAAGTGGCATACAAGCACGTCTCGAGGAGGCTTTTGTTTACACTAAAAATTTGATAAAGATAAATATTTTTGAATACATTTTTGGATAATATTGATATTATCTAATTTGTTTAATTAGATAATATCAAAAGAATTTAAACCTATCAAAATTCTTCCTATCCTACAACTATAAATAGGCGCTCACATTCATCATTAACATGGGATATCATGGAAACATATTGGAATGCTTTCAAGCTTATTTAGAGATCACCATGATCCTAAAAATAAAATATTTCTAAAATCACCTCCATGAAGCCCATGTCAAGCATGTTGAACTAACCCTCAATTGAAGAACAAGTCAGTTTGAGTCCTGAGACCCTTCAACAAAGACCAAGCTATACATGTAAGCCATTCTTTGAAGATCAAGCCACTTGAGTTCTGAA